AATAAAATAATATAAAACATTGATAGAAATGCATGAATGAAATAAAGAAAAAGTGAAATAAATAAATACAACGGGTTTTATGTAGTGTAAAAACAATAAAACTACCAACAATAAATTATCGAACATGAAAATGATGGAAAGAGTTAAATTAATTAAATTAAAAGCAACAACTTATGGCGTACTAAAACTACAGGTAACAATTACTAATTACTTGAATGGCGAAAATTGCGATGAAAATACCATGAAGTTTGTAAATGTGTATTCTAGTGTTAGATTTAAGTAGACAAATTGGACAAGTAAAGCAGGCGAAGAGGAAAATGCTTAAAATAAAAATAAAATATCATATAATGTAATAACTAAGCAAAAATAATTAATTGCATAAATATATGCAAAAAATAAGTGAAAAAATATAGATTGAAAAAATTAAAATTAAAAAATAAATTAAAACCAATAATAAATTCCTTAGCTTTTAGGCAATGCTGCTAGTGCGACCAGAAATAATAAATTAAAAAAAAAACAAATTTTTTTTTAAATATTCGCAGTGATTTCATGAAAATGTTGAACAATTTCACTGCAGCAGAAGTAACAGCAGCAGCAGCGCGCACAAAATACATACATGTATGTAGGCAAATGCCGTGAAGTGTTGAGTGCATTTGGATAAATGGAAATACTTGAAAACATATCAATTTCGTGCCCGATAAACAAAATAGAAGAGTATAATTACTATATAAAACATACATACATATGTAAGATATACATATGTATACATATGTATACATATAAAAATTATAGCTATTTAAGTGTATGGAAATGGAAAAAAGTTTTAATATAATATATTATAGCATATATATGTACATACATATGCGATCTAATTACAAACATACATATAATACATTCATACATACCCACATACATACAATACATACATATTTATATGAATACTGATATTTAACTAAAATATGTTGTACAATGATGGAGAATGTATTGTATGCAAATATCTAAAATTATAATGGCATACATACTTACATACATACATACATACATACATACATAGAGACTAACCAAAAATATAGTCGCAGCTCAGTTCAAGGTTATACAAAAAAAAAAAAAAAAAAAAAAATCCCAACTCGAATTTTATTACAATACCAATCATTCTACACAAAAAATTTCCTTTTTCTACAACAAAACATACGAAGCATACATACAAAAATACGAATGTATTGTTGGGCAACGGCGTATGCATAAATTTGCTGCTTTACCGTAATTCAAATTTCAAAAAAACTTTACAAATTTGCTGCATTATTAAAGAAAAATAATACTTTATTGTACTTACAAATAAATATATGTATATACATACATATGCGAGCATTTTAATAGAGAAAAGTCGAGTTTACGAACAAACCAAAAGCTTTCCGCAAGAATTTTTGAAACTTAACTTTTTTTAGTTTCAAATTAACACGAAAAAATTTTAAATATTTCCACAAAGTTTCCACAGATTTTTCACTGATTTCCCACCTTCAATTTCGAACAGCAAAGCAAGAAAAGCTCAAAAATTAAGCAAATTCATGAATGAAGAAAAAACGCAATTTTCTTTTACAATTATGTAAGCTTCTTTTACACACAAACATACATACAAATATACATTCGTATTTATAATTAATTATTGTGTTTGCGCTTGCCTGTTAAACTTACAAACATACATTCATACACTCATATGCAGAAAAATAAGAACAAAACAACAAATACTTATGTACTTACAAACATAATTCAATTAGAATCATATAAATATAAAACGTAATAAATATATACATATATATATATGAAAGACAAGCCTTGTTCTTTATACATACATACATTATATATATATAAAAAAACAAAACAAAAAAAAAAACGAAATAAAAATATTTAAATAAACTTAAATAAATATAAAAATCGAAAAATATATTATAACATAATATACATACATAAAAAGGAAGTATATGAAAACATAACAACAACAACAAGCATATAATAATACAATTTTAAATAATATAAAATATTAATTAAATATTTAGCGGAAATATTGTAATATTGTGAGTTTAAACGTATTGTTGCATTCAAAATAAAAAAATGGAAAAATAAAAAAAAACACAAAAATATTATTACAACTATAAGAAAATAATTGTTTACTTAATTGAACGTACAGAGTATAGAAAGCAAAAATATGCGAAAAAAAAACAAGAAAATACTGCAAAGGTTATAATGGCAAAGTGCGTAAGGCTTACAACAATAAAAGCAATCATTTAAAATAATTAAACACTTTTCAAATATAATTTCATAATCAAAGTTAAGCAATTGGCATTCAATTAATATTAAATAAAAAAATTGTTATCAAGCAAAATCTCATTTTACTAAAAAAAAAATAAGGAAAAATAATAAAATAATTATTTAAGCCTCTCTTTTGCATATTTTCCACATTCGAAAATTGAAACCAGATTTTTTTTTTTTTGTTTAAAACAAATATTATATTATTTTTCACTATTAGTTCGCAATTGAGCCCAACATTTGGCTAAGAGTTGGCAAACATTTCGTAAGCACGTATTGCATACATATGTACATACATAGGTGCATGATATGTAGGTGAAAAAGTGTAAGCAAATAAGAAAAGGAACAAGAAATAATAAATAATAAATAAAGTTTTAAATTGTTTTGTGTAATTGTAATGAATAAAAGTGTTGTGTTTTATTTATGCTCCTGCCTGGTGTAAGTGTATGTTTGGTGGTCAAGTATTTTCCTTCGATCTACAGTTTTAGCTTAGGTTGGATTACATTAGACTGGTTGGCCCTGGTTGACCCTTTGTCGTGTCAGATGGATTGCGATCTAAAGTAGTCTCGTCGTAGAAAACGTCTACGCCATTTGCGTAGTTCAAGAGTGATTTAACATTCAATTTTGAAGCCACTTCTAGTCATTTGAACTACGAGGCTCCGAGATACCTAAGCTGAGTTGTACCCATGGCCGAACGGAAACAGAGTAGATGTTCTAACATCTCCATCATGTCTTCCTCCCGGTACTTTCTACTTGTCTCACTGCTACTCATGGCCATTCTGCTTGCATGAGAAGTGAGAGAGTGAGTTGTGGGCTTCCTCCGGGCACTTCCTATGTGTGTCGCTGCTAGTAATGCGCATTCTGCTTGCATGATATTCTAATAGGTTGGAGCCCGTCATAAGGGCAAGAAATGGCGACTTTCGTCTTGTTCGCTAGTAAGACCAATCGTACTTTCGATTTCGCTGCCTTTCTGGCCTGGCACCTAGTATATATGCAGTTGCATACACAGCGCCATCCTGTCGACTGCTTCTCTCTTTCTAAGGACATTTTCTTAGGCAGTACAATGTGTAGATATTTTTCCCCAAATTTTCGCCTTACTGATATTTTTTATATAGTTTTCTACATTACTAGCTAACTCAGTAGTTTCCCCTGTGTGCTCTGAAAGGTCTTCAATTCTCAAGTCTAGCTTAACGTAATACACCAGCGTCTATTCCCTCAGTCATTACTCATCCATATGTGTAGCTGTTTCCCTGGTGGGTCGCAGGTTCCTGCGTCATTTTTCCTCTTTATTCGTAGCTTGAAACATTCGTTCCGGACCATTAGTATAAATTATAGATAGATAATTAAAAAAGAAATAGTAAAAATAATTTTCCAATAGCGGTCTCTTCTTGTAGAACAGTGATTGTTTGCGTCGGAGTATAACGGATCTCCATGATATGTCAAAAGAGTACCACCTTGGAACATTGTTCTCGCAGCTGTCTAGAATTCTGTGCTAAATTCGTTTCTCTCTTACTGGAACTGTTGTGGTTTTAGTCTTGTCTACACCGATTACACATTGCCTTAGCTTACAGTGCTGGGTATATTTTGTAGGTTAGTTTCGTGGTCCACATATTGTGGACTTTGTGATAACTCAAACAAGTGTGGAATTGGTTGTATTTAATACCAAATACTAATTGGATCTGTCGCTAAATTTTCGTATCCGTTAAAAGGTTAATACTCTTGTAGGGCCTGATATGCAATTGCTAAGAGAAAACAAACCTCTTTCGTTTCCTTGAGAATCAAAGAGCAATCCTGTTATGTAAAACTATGGCGCTTAGAACAACTCGAAACGAGGCTTTAAATGTATTACTTGACATCCTGCCAATTACTTTGATAGCATACCAGATGGCAGGGCTGTCAAGCCGTCAAGAAACTCAAAAATTCATAAGTTTTTCACAAGCATAGACCCGAACTGTTTGCACTGATTATAACACTCGGCCTTTTTCTTCTCTTCTTCATTAGCTTAGCATATGCAATCAAAGTTAGGATTACCAGTAGTAACGTAGAAGCCAAATGCTCATTGTACCACGACATTGTTGTTCATGTGGCAGAGATAGCAATGTCACGCGGCGCAAAAACTCCATCTGCCACTGACCTAACAGTTTTTGACAGTAGCTCTGTTCGGAGAGAAATGCGTGTAAGAATTAACCAATAACGTGATGTCGAAATTCGACTTCCACAGTGCAAATTCTACCAGCGTTTTACCTTACCGAACGCGGTTCATTATAAATTGGTAATAATTATTACTGCCTCTTTGCTAATTATTTTTTAAATGAAAGTAAAAATATTTAGAACAATTTTAAATATTACATATTATATCATAAGAAGTGCTCTGCTCTTTTGTCGCCACCACTTTTACACGCTTATAAACATTGATTACTGCCAGCACTGTTTAAGGTTTGTGTCTGTGCTAAGAAACAGCATTAATTATTCCTCGCTCAACTACATATTCACATAAAATCTTCTTTATTATGATATCTTAATATATGAAACAAATGCAGAAATAATTAAAATTTTGTTATAATCAGCGTAAAACTCTCTCAACAGTAATAAATTGTGGTTTGAGCAATTGATTACTAACACTTCAACATTTCAGCCAGCAACATGCTGCTGAAACATGCAGCATGGGCGAACAGCTGTTTCTGACAGCTGCAAATTTTTTGGTTGATTTATTTATTGTAACAAAGAAGAAGTGAAATTTACAAATTACTTCTAAGAGTTTAAAAACCAATATATCATTTAAAAGCAAAATGTTTTGTTGTTTACGAACTTGCCTGAACGGAAATTTTGGAAAATCAGCTTCCTCAGCAGCGAATCGTTTGCGTGATCCTGATGTGTTTCTCGATTCATCATTTTCAGGTAAGGAAATTCAATATGTACAAAAAAAAATTACAAACATATTTCTAATAATTGTTAGCAAAGTAATATACATTTATGCTGCCATTTTTTTCTATAATTTTTCATGCGAAAATCACTACAAACCACAGGACCTGATGTTATACTACTATCGAGGCAACTACGTATAACTGGCTCTGGTGGCGCCTTAGCCACAGCACCATTAGTGCAATCCAAATCATATTTTGAAATAAAAATACAACAAGGCGGCAGCTGGTCAGTAGGTTTAGCAACAAGGCAAGCAGATTTAACGAAAAAATTTGGCGGCTGCGATAGAGAATCGTGGTGCCTGTGTTCAGATAATGCAACACGACACAATGATGAAACCCTCCGTCCTGTTGTGGTGACCACACAAGAACCAATTGGCGCTGCAGATAATACATTAATCAATGAAGCCGCGCATACAGCTGGCCTAATTGGTATTGAAGATGTACCTGAAGATAATGTGCTAGGCACTGTTGTTAATGTTAGCATTGAAAATTGCAGTAACAACTTAATTGCACACCCGGTACATAGCTTTCCTGACGAAGGCGATGTTGTGGGCATAGCTTTTGATCATATAGAGCTAAATTTTTACTTTAATGGCAAAAATCTGGATGTGCCATTTCGTAATGTCAAAGGCACCGTGTATCCGGTTATATTTGGTGAGTTTATGGGATAAATAAATTTTTTAAATTAGTTTTGTTTTAAACAATTTTATATTTATAAACTGTGCATACTTACAGTGGGTAATGGCGCTATTGTCGACATTATACTGGACAACTTTAACTATGGTCCGCCGCCTGGTTTCGACAAAATTATGCTTGAACAATCGTTGCTTTAAAAATTTTCCAATTTGCGTAAAGGACATTATACATCAAAATCAGAACAATAAACTATTACTATGAAAACAGTGGTCATAATGTAGAATATATATTTTATTATAAAATTTAGGCAAATAACGTGTAATTACTAATTAACATGTACATATTTATGATCTAACTCGACATTTATTAAGGCGAAGGTGTTTTTTTTTTACTCCATACTATACTTTTAACTATTTGTATATCTAGTCAAGTGTAACATTTTCAAGTATTAAAATGACTGTTTTGCATTTCGTCACTATTTATATTATGTAAATTTGTATGAAATTAAGAGTTAGGCTTTTCTATAGATTACTAAAAACTTCTATTCGTTTTATTATTGTACGGAATTTGTATATTCAACTAAAATGTGCGCTGTAATCTTATATATTTCCATTAAGCTAAGATATAAAGTTAGGCGAAAATGATTTAGAAAGCATATAATATGTAATAAACTAAATTAAACTTATAAAATATAACACATTTCACTTGCACTACTCAAAATTTCACCACCACATTTACGGCGAAAAAAAATATTTATAAAAATATATATAAAAATGTGTAATTATCTACGAAACTCAAAGATCATTCAGTACAACATTCCAATACATTTAAATATTCATGATATTGTAAATTAAAAAGTAAATAATTGTAAACGAATAAAATGCATAATTTATTAAGTATGTATGTATGTAAAAATTACCCTGAAATGTTAACAATAAACGTTGCAATCATGAGATAAACCAACGATTTGATTATTATTGAATATGAAGAATAAAGAAGGCATAGACAACAACAGCATAGACAACTCTAACGAAAGCCGGTTCCACGCACCGGATTTTATCCAGCCAAGGGCTCTCACACCTCAACAGATAACAGTATAAGTGCATTAACGGAGCAACACCTCTCAGATGGGTTGCTGTGCATCCTTCCCATAATTACTGGCTTTAAGCCCAACCCTAGTCCAACAGATTACTTCAGCTACGTGTGCCATAGACGATACCACCATCCCGCATTGCGGAAATTCGCTCTAATTGCCCCCTGAAGCGGTGGTTCTAACATCCAAGTGCGCCTCTCCATTCGTTATGCAGATCCCGGAAATCCGCTTATCAAGGATCTTCCTAAGGAGGATACTTAAGGTCCTGTAACCACCTCTTTTAGGACAATTAAGCGCAAGCTTTTTTAGCCGACTTTTCGCACTGCACTTCTCGGTCTTCTTCAGAGGGTCATCAGAGAAGTAAAAGCTGCCAAATCTATCGGCTGATACTAAAACACCTAGGTTCAGTGGGTGCAGACTATCTCACCAAAGTCCTCAATTTGGCTTTGACTACCCTAGTAATACTCCGCATTTGAAAAAAGTAGTTTGGACCCGGTTGATAAGGGAGAATCATATCGGCCGATAACTCTCCTTTCTCCAATAGCGAAAGTTCTTGAGGCCTTGCTGTCTTTCACATACCACAAGCCACCAGATAGTCAATGGCCTCAACCAAAACCGGCACTGTGCGCAAACTGGACCACCAGCTAGACAAAGGAATAGCGGGTGGCTGGAACCTGATGTGAATATCGATGACGTGGAAATTGCGACTCTAAACAACTGGAAGTTATTTGGAGTCACAATCCACAGCCTGAACTCTGCATACGACAGCAATTTCCGCAAAATTCTAGAGCTGTAAGGACATACAAGACAACTGACTGGCGATCGTAAACTATGCTGCACCAGTCTGGGCGCCAGGGAAAGCTAGCAAGACGCAGTAGAGCTACAAGCCTGCCAAAACACCGCCCTCATGAGCTTGGCAGGAGACCATCACTTGCATAGCGAAGCATTTATGCTGTAAGTTAGGGAGCACAATGCTTTGCTGTGTAAGCAAATTTCTGCTTCAATGCTATCGTAGGAAGCACCCCTATAGGTAGCTTATAGAAGACGAACCTCCACACAGGCACATCAGAAAGGAAGTACTCGATTTCAAGGGCTGCATTCAGCAACACTTAGAAGAGCCGCTAGACAAGCATTAAACGCCATTCAACGAGAGCCCCTCAAAAACTTCCTGAGCTCCCTTCCAGTAAATGACATTCGCGGAGTCAAACCAGCACACGTTGCAGGCGAAGAGTGCAAGTTATTTCTCGACTCCCGCTTAATGCTGGCCCAGTTAAGATCCGCTTATTAAATTCTAAAAATTAAACAAAGCCAAATTCCAACTTATCCAAACTTGGCTCGGGCGTAACCAACGTATGTCATGCTTGCAATGAGTCCATCCCATCACCCCTTTGCATGCGCACTAAAACCAACTCAACTAGAGGGGTCCCTCTGGTCCGTACCCGTCGAAACAGCACGTTTCCTGGACCTCCCGTGAGATAACCTCGATGAGCTTGCCTGCTCCTAAGCGGGGTTAGCGCGCCGCTACAACAACAGTAATGGAGTGTTGTTGTAATGATACTATTAAGTATGCTTTGCTCTAAACTTAAGCTGCTAAACGGTAAAAGAGTTCTTAGCAGAAATTGTAAACATTACAACATTAACTCACACTGCTCCACGGTGTTGTGAGGCGTCGGATGTACGTATGTCAACAAAGTGGAAATATCATTTTTGAAATTTCAGATAAAAAAAAATTACAAAAATATCGCTTCACTTCTAAATTCTAGTTTCACTCAAAATAAATTATTTTTGCAAAATTTAAATAAAAAAAAAAACAACAACAAACAAAAATTTCAAAACGGATGTTTCCAAATTCTCAGTTTAACAATAAATGTCAGGCCGCGTGAGTTTCAATATATATACCATACACACACACACACACAGATATACATAACAATGTTGCGCACAAAGCATTTACTCATTTCCCTTCCACATCCTTGGGGCGCAGGGCGAAATTATACAAATTCATATTGGACAAGCTGGAGTGCAGATAGCGAACGCCTGTTGGGAATTATATTGTCTCGAGCATGGAATTATGGCGAACGGTGCGCTGTGCCAAATGCCGAATGACGATTCGTTTCTGACATTTTTCGGCATCTCCGGTATGGCGCTAAAGGTGGTGCCACGCATTGTCATTGTCGATACGGAGCCCACAGTTATCGGTTGGTTTATATATATATACATATATATGTGTTTATGTACTGCCATGCTTTTTTGCCTACAGATGAAATACGCACAGGCGCCTATCGTTATCTGTTCCATCCGGATACGCTTATAAGCGGCAAAGAGGATGCCGGCAGCAATTTCGCACGTGGCTATAATCTCTTGGGTCATGACCTCATCGATCGCACCATGGACGCTATACGACGTGTGGCGGAGCAGTGTCGCAATTTGCGTGGTTTCCTCATATTTCGCGCCATTGGTGGCGGCACAGGCTCCGGCTTTGGTACACTCCTACTGGAAAAGCTCTCGGATGCATATGGCAAGAAGACAACGAAAGCCGAGTTTCTGGTGTTTCCATCACCCTCGTGAGATAAAAAAAATGAAAGTTTCCTTTACCACTCCGCCACGTTTCTTGTATTGCAGGCTCTCACCCATTATAGTGGAGCCTTATAACGCTTTACTAGCCACACACTATTCAATGGATTATGTGGACGTCTCTTTTATTGTGGATAATGAAGCACTGTATGAGATCTGCGACACAAAACTCGGCGTACCAGCGCCCACGTATACAAATTTAAACCGTATTATTGGCCAGGTAATTATACTCATATACATACATACATATGTATGTGATCAATTAAATTACCGCCTTGCGCACACTTTCACTTCAGGTTGTTTCGGCATTCACTGCTTCGCAGCGCTTCCAGGGTACCAACAACGTCTCCTTCGAGGAGTTCCAAACGAATCTAGTGCCATATCCACGCATTCACTATCCATTGCTCACCTACGCGCCCCTAGTGCCGGTTAGCAAGTTCCCCTATGTGAACAGTAATGTTGAACAGTTGACCCAAGCATGCTTCCATCCTGGCAATCAAATGGTGCGTTGCAATCCCACACTCGGCAAGTATATGGCTTGTGTGCTGCTGTATCGTGGTGACGTTTCGCCGAACGACATTAACTCCTCCATCCAGCAAATTAAATCTTCACGTACCGCACGCTTTGTGGATTGGACACCGACCGGTTTCAAAATTGGCGTAAATAATATGCCACCTGTATTTGTGCCGGGCGGTGATTTGGCGCCTACTTCTCGAGCGGTCTGCGCCATTTCCAACAATACGGTTATTCGTAGTGCCTGGTGTCGGCTGGTGAGTAAGTACGACAAATTGTACGACAGGCGCGCTTTTGTGTATCATTTCGTGGGCGAGGGCATGGAGGAGGGTAGTCTGTTGGAGGCTTCACAAAACGTTTGTTCACTTGTGGCTGATTACTATGAAGTGGAAGCCTCGGGACGAGCTTCCGCGACCTTATCAAACGAGAATGAAGAATAAAAGTTAATTTACCAAATTTTAATAAAATTTTAAAAACTTTTGGAAATTTTTATGTTTTTACTTATTTTTAAAAATATACTCGTAAATATACTTACTATGATATATACCCTAATGTTGTTTTTACTTAGGAGCAGGCTAGATCAGTCTAACTCATGGAGGTCACGCAAACAGGTGGCTAGCATCGTGCAGGAACTCATTGCATGCAGGACAAGCGTTAGATACGTCGGGGCAAGTCTAAATAGGCAGAAGTTTAGTCGACTACAATATCCAGATCTGAGTTTCACCAGCATTATGCGCGAGTCTCGATGCAGCTCAAGCTTTTCGCCTGCAATTGGTGGCGGTTTGATCTCCGTTGTAGGACACTCGGTGAATGGCGTATAATGTCCATCGGTAAGCAGTCCTATCCAGTAGTTGTTGTAGATGGTGCGGAATGCATTCCATGAGGTCGATTACCCCGTTTATGTTGCCCACAGGGCCGGTTTTGATTGAGTCTTGACTATATGAGTGCTTATTCCGTCAATTGCAGCCCTTAAGAGCCTTCGCTATTCGAAGAAATGATTCTCCCTTGTTGGCTGGTTTCCTCGGTTTTAGTAGCGAGACCAGCACACCCTTTTTTTACATGTCGGGTATTTTTAGTTTGGTCAACCGCAGAAAATAATTTTCTTCTTGCTTGGTATACCTAAATAACACTGTACACTGTAATGCCTACAGTCCACTGCTTTAACCATCTACTTATATCTAGTAAGAGGTTGACAAAGCGTAGGTATGGGCACCGAGGATTTTTAGCAGCATCCTCGAAAGCGCGGAAGAGTCCAAAAGAAAATGTTGACTCTTTCTCAAAAAAACTTCTATTGTGAGGGTCTAGTAAAATATCAAGCCTTAGGGTATAAGTACCAAACGAAAAGCGGCCAGTACGCTTTGTCATCGTGTCTGATGTTGCAACCTTTTGCGGCACCCTGAGCATTATCTACCGTCTGGGGACCAAGATGCGGCTCCTTAAACGTTAGTTAAGATGCAGAATGCCTACCCGCCCAGAAGCAAACAATCATTTGACAGAGGGCGTCCTCCTTGTCCAAAACCCGTTGGTTTTCTTCTCCTTTTTCCTTGAAATTTATAGCAGATGTTTAGTTCAACTGCGACTTTTCGCGATGGGTCTCGAGTTCAGAGCAGCCCGGATCGTCATTAGGAAGGCGTGCTCGGGACTCCTCTTTCCCTTCATGTAGCCCTTGGAACTTGGCCTCTGCTGTGAACTCTCTCTCCGCCGACCATTAGAAAGTAGTTTTGTTCCACACTTTTTCCCTTTTGTATTCCATATACAGGGTTATCAATTTTGCGGTTTTGAAAATAAACGTAAGCGAGCTCGCTGGCCAATTGGCATTGCCAAGACAAGAGATTACGCTACCGGGAAAGTTCTCCCGCCATATAGCCATATTCACTGGTGTGAGAAATGTGCCTTGACACTGAGGAAAATTTTGTTCGAAAAATTACAGTTATTTGTTTGTTATTCAAGCACCCAATCGACGTTTGTGGAGCTGGTTTCAAGACTTAAAGTACTCAAACTAATGCCCCCCTCTGGATCGACTTACGTAGCTAATGGAAAAAGAAAATAAAAGTAAATAAAATGTACCTGCTCTGTGACCCCCTCGTACTTTTAGACCTGCGCCGAAATTTCTCCACCAAAATATTGATGACATAATTGCCGTAATTGCGTGAAAAATAACTTCATCAATGTGCGTCAAGCTCTGGAGGAATTGAAATCTGTGACGACAGGCAAGCCGTCACGTAGCCTAAATGATCGATGATGGATCACACTCGATTGCAAATGCGCATAATGGCCCAACTTGACGTGTGACGCCAGGTCAACGCCGCGTTGGCATACGACGAAGCGCAGCCATTGTCCGCGCATCTACCGCCAGCGTAAAACAAACATCAATGGCAACAATGAGATGCGCATAAATACAGACAGGCAGACAGACAGACAGACAGAGAGAGAGAGACATAGAGACAGGGGGAATGCTCAAGACAACATTATTTGCAGGGTGCGTGCTCCAGCAATTACCGGTCTCACAGCCGCACGTCTCTGGGTCACAGGCGCGCACGAAGCATGAAGAACAAACAAACAAACAACACGGCTTTGTTAAAATTAAGTATTTATAGGCGCACAAAAACCAACAAACTCCCTATAAACATTCCTTCATACACGCATACTTCACCCAGCGACGATGATAGGCGATTCAAGCGCATATCCTGCCCCTTATAATAACCCATAATTAAAAGAGTGGTAACCTTTTATTTCGGCCACTCGCATTGGCAACACACGCGCTGCGCTGGGTAAGCGCTGCGAACGCAGAGCGAACTGTGTACGGCGCACTGGAACATCTGGTCACAGCAATGCCAGGTTCTGTGCCAGTGTGCGCCCCCACCATTTACCGCCTGAGTACACAAGCATTTATATAGATAAATATTTATGCGCGAACATACATGTTTTCGCCTTTGATGCTCACTCGCGGCAAGGTCTTTTCCTTCGTCTCGTGGGCAATCGTGATAGATTCGTAAACTGCAGCCTTAATGTGCGCTTATCGATTATCCTCTTTGCGATGCGTTTGGTACTCGCGATTCGCTGGGTTATACTATTGCGCGCCAGCAGATTATCTTCGTGGATGTTGATCTCTCAACTTGCGTGACTTATTCCTTGCCGCATCGTCAAGCCGATGGAAAAAAACAATTCCACCGCAACAGATTGCCAAGTGAAGATTGCGCTTTTGTTGCTTATTTTGTAGCAGATTTAGGTGCATATCGCACTTTTTCTACCTTTGCGGCTCGGCCTCACGCTTCAAATTATTTACGCCAGCCCTTGTTTTTGTTGTTTTGTGCGTCGGTTCTTGCGATATCGGCTGGTATTATCGTGAGAACCGATGCGTGTGTTCTGGTGCTTTTGGCGAGCTCGATGAATTAAATTTACCTCGAAGACGTTTATTCTGGCTTTGACTTAAGTGTTAATGAGCTAAAGGAAATTTCGGCGCGTACGTGCCAAGACCGCCAGCTATGTTGAAATTACCACACATATTAATGATGGATTCAGCAGAAAACTGTGATTGCTGCGTATGCTATTGTTCTGTTCATCTAACCTGTTTTTTTTGTTTTTTCTTTTTTGTTGATATGCCAGCGATTACAGGCTGGTCGATAGCCTCAAGTAGATGAAGTGTTGATAACAATTAATAGAAACCAAGAAATGTTTACAATTTTGTTCTTGCTTTTGTATTTCGGAAGTATTTTTTTATTACCGGTGTAAAAATCCATCGAGACTGCCGAAATATTCCAGGATGGATTTATTCTAACAAACTTTCTCGGACCGGCAAAATATTGGTACATTCAACTCAACCGTAAGGCCAACTTTTACAAGAAAATCGTTCTCACTATTTTACTTTTTCATTTTCATCATTTTTTTTATTTTAATGTCTTCTATTTTATATGGTTTTTACTCTTTTGTTTCAATGTTTTTAACTAAATTTATCAAAACTATTTTATATTTCTTTAAATAATATAAATTTTGTTTAATTTTAATCAATTTAATTGTTTTCATTTTATTTTACTTTAATTCATTTTATTTTATTTTATTTTCTATTATTTAAATTTTTTTCAATTTATATTATTTTTAGTCAAGTTTATTCTATTTTTTATTTATTTATTTTATTTTACTTTATTTAATTATTTTTGGAATTTTATTTTATTTTACTATATTTTATTTGACTATATTTTATTGGTGGCCGCAGTGGCCAAATTGCTATATTGCTTACTGCCATTCGGAAGGCTCAGGTTCAAATCCTGGTACGACGAACATCCAAAAGGTTGTTGAAAATTTATTTATTTAATTAATTTTATTATTTAAAATTTTCTAATTTCGCTTGCCCCTCAGCGGGGAATGCATTTCTGACACGAAAATCAAAGCTCCTCATAAAAAACCGTCAGCCGTTCGGGGTCAGCTTCGTATAAGCTGTAGGTACCACAATTTCTTAGAAAAACATCAAGACGCAAAATCACAAATTGGGGGAGGAGCTCGGCCGAAAATGTTGTGACATATTTTTAGACACATCAGTTTTATTTAAGGTGATTTACTTTTTTATTTTATAATTTTTTATTTATTTTTTTTTATTTTAACTTTTTTTAATTAATTTTTTTTTTATATAAAATTTTTTATTTCATTTTAATCTATTTTATTTTATTTTATTTTGTTTCATTTTATATTTTTTTAATTTATTTTATTTTATTTAATTTTTATATTTTATTTTAAATATTTAATTTATCTTTTTCAATTCGCAGAAAAATATATTACTTTTTTTTATTTATTTTATATTGTTTTTTATTTAACTTTTATTTAATTAATTTAATTTTTTCTCTTTATAATTTATTTAATTTAAATTATATCAATTTTACTTCGTTTCAATTTATGTTATTTTCTTTCCATTCCTTGTTTTTCAAATAATCTAATTTTTTTTTTCATTTTATTCAATTTAATTTTATTTGAATTATCTTTTATCAATTTAGTTTATTTTATCTTACGTTGTTTATCACAACATCATTTTTTCTTTGATTTTTTTGTTTTGTTTTATTTTGTTAATTTTTTTTCTAAAATAATTCAATTTAATTTTATTTTACTCTGTTTTATTTTATTTTAAATTATTTTTATTTCCTTACTTTTATTTAATTTTATCTTATTTTGTATCCATTTACTTATTACATAAATAAATGTTTGGCAATTTTCTTGTAAACCCAAATTTTATAGCTATTGGCAAATATTGTATTAACATATATATATATATATGTGTACGTATATATACAAAGCTGCATATCTACATACCATGCAATTTGAAAATTGCTAATCATTTAACACCGATATGCGTGAGAAGATTCACAGTCTATTTTGTATTATTTGACGGTTGCGCCGCGCCATATGGTCAATTGTTGTGCCAATGAGGAGGAGTCGCTTGTAAAGCTTGGAAAAAGGGCGCCTGCGGCAATTTTATACGCTCAAGCAGTAAC